ACTCTTATCCCAACTAAAGCAAGTTTTATTAACGACTTTAAGGTTCATAGTATTAGGACTACGTTACGCCGAACAACTGAAGACTGATCGTCTCAGAGTATCGTAGGGTCTTTTATTATCTAACAGTCTTCATGCTAATCTGCAGTAGGTGTTTTCGTTTTGTATTACTTTAGCTGGGGTCGTCATTAGGTCCAAAAGGTGATATTGGCAAAGTAAGGATGTTTTCAGGAACTTCCATCAAGCTTTTCGGGTTCTCTCGAACTGGCGACATCACAATGTCATCGTCTCTCGCCTTCTTGATGAATTCGTCTGCGCTTGGTGTTTCCAACGGTTCTATTTTCGGAGAATTGGTTTTCTTCGGTTCCTCTTCATTGCACTGCGAATACGGTCCGCATCGACGTGGCTTGAGTGAAAAAGCCAAAGGCAAGAAAATCTCGTCTTGTTTTGGGTGTGAGGGATCTGTGGAACTAAGTTTGCTATCATCAGTCTTCTTCTCTTCACCTGTTGGTGAACCTTGGGTTTCTCTGAACGCTCGTCCTGAGTCATTTCTCTTGGATTCTCTATGCATGCTTTGGACTGTCTTTCTCTCAACCGGCATCGCCTCTCGTGACAGTCTAGGAGATGGTGGGGGTGGTGCAAAGTCAGAGGCCTGATATTTCGGAGATCTTGGAGTATTTTCGATTTGGCGGCGGCCTCGAGGAGCCAACAGAACCCGCGTACCAGTAGGCATTGGATCGCCGGCTTCTCCGCCTAGAGCTGGTACCGACAAGCCACTGTTCGAATCAGGGAAGTCATATTCATGGCATGGCACACGTCCGCGATTAATGTATGGCGATCGATGCCACCCATTTTGCGCAGCCATTGGATGAAATATATGATTGTTGGGATGAAGCTGTGGCGAATGGTGGTATTCTGACCTTCGAGGTATCATACGCGGTGCCCAGTCAGCAGGGTGTGCTTGGGAACGGTAACCTGCTGGTGAGAATTGATGTCGTCCTGCCGGAAGCGCACCGCTCGGTGGATGGCGATAAGCCTCGGTTGGAGACCATGAGTGGCAAGTTGCAGGTGCAGATAACGGATACTTTACAAGTGGAGAATGTGGCGAAGGGCGAAAATCAGATGTGCCCCACTGCTCGCCGGACCAGCCTTTTGGAGTGTCGGGATACCTATACGGGAAATCCAGAGAACGCCTATCTTGATAGCAATAGGTTTCATGATGATCATGATGATCATGATGAGAATGAGGATGATATTCCGGTAAGCCATCAAGGTTGTCACTCTCAGAAAGAGCAGCTCTGCCACTCCAGGTTTGTGGTGTACTTGGATATGGTATCTGCTGACGGACAGGAGTCGAACAAGGGGACAACGGCGGGGCGTATGACTGCGCCGAGGAAAAGGTGGAAACCATAACATCCGCATCATGATCTCCTCTCGCCACTTTCCCTCTACAATGATTGCGAAGACTTGGATTTGAATTTGCCCTACGGTGCCCTTTCTTCACCACTGTTGGCCTCGACTGAATCCAAATAATGTCAGGTTGAACATGAATCGCCTTAACCAACGCAAATGTTGTTGTTCCTGACTCACCTTGACGGCTCTGGTTTTATCGATCCCTTTTGACTTGTTGTTCTCCTTGCCTTTTGATTTTATTTTGTCACCAGAATTCCGCTTCTTTGCTTCATTCGATCCAACTTGATGAATATTCTGCTCCTTCTCTACAACATCCATATCGAAAACAACATTTAAGAAATCGGGATCACCCAAGTCTGCCGACAGCTGCTTCCGCAAACTAGCGGCTCCGTCCCGGAGTGCTTGACTCGTCTTTTCTACTGCTTTTTTGTGTCCGATATCAGACCACAAACTAGTTTGAGGATTTTTTTCCAGGAACCTTTCTCCAACAAAGCAAACGCAAACATCGTTAGGGGAGAGTCAAGCAGTTTCAAGCCGACAAGAGCCTAGACAATTGTTTCAATCGAACACGATTCCTTACCTCCCCGGTGGTGTCAACAGCGAAACAGCTTCCACAATGGATCTTGATATAGCCATTTTTTGTTTCTTAGAAGAGCTGACATAAACCTCCTGGCAATCAAAGTTCAAAAATAGGGGATTAGGTGAATTGCAACTTACACTGTCGTTTCCTGACAACATTGCGTACCTTATTCACTCCAACAAGAGCACGGAAGCTCTCGTTTCCAGGGTGTCTATTGGTTGTCACGCCTCTCCCACATAAAACGTCGTTGTGATGTGGTTGCTTGATGTCGATCATTTTCTGTTCTTCCGGCAGAGTCAGCACATCCCTAGGTCGTTGCATTTTGGCGTTTCAACAACTATCGCAACGAATACAAGAATCCAACGATTTCGATTTCCGATGAAGAATGAATGAATCAATCCATCAGTCCCGCTGTCACAGAAAAAGAATCAGAAAACCGATAGTAAAAACCATTTGGCGCGGGAAATTTGGAAACTGCCGATATCATAGGATCCTCTCTTTTTTCAACGAACACTTTCTATGCACATAAAATTACACAACGGAAAGGCTTGCTCAGTGATTGGATCGGTTGGATCGGAATTATTTGATTCCTTTGATTAAAAACGGTGGTTCAAGTATTTTAATAAAAAATACCCACTGTACTGTACTTGAATAACTTCTGGCCACTGTAAAGTACTTGAATAACTTCTGGCAATATAGAGACCTAGAGGTCATCAAGATTAAGCTGGACGGCTTCGGCAGTACTTTCAGCGTAGTAATCAACTCCCAGATTCTTGCAAATTTGATAGTCTGGAACTAAGACCCCATTACCAAGAGACACATGACCGCACCGGAGTCGTAGCAATAGCACTACTTCTTTTTCAGGATTGTACATATTCACAAGTTCTTGCAGCTTGGTTCGTGTGACTGCCATTTCAAAGTCATCAGAAATGACGTCTGCATCAAACTCTCCCAGTGTCAAGAAATGCATAAGGATTGATCTTTCAACCACCCGCCCAGTGGTATCTTTTGGGATCGTAAGGGATAGTTCTGCTAGTGTACAATTGCTTTGAATGAACAAGAACCCTTTCCCCAGTTCTTGGGTCTTGAACACAGCATATGGGCATGCGTAGAATCGAATTCGTCCAAATATCTCGTTCCGAACCGTCGTCTGTGTACTTTCCCTATCATTCCCGCCCAGCAACGAGGACAAACGGATATAAGAAGCACAGGCATGCTTGTGGCGTCCGTTTTTCCAGTCGATCGTTTGACACTCGCGATTGCAGTAAAAGGCTATTCCACACTTTCCACACCTCGACGAGGGTGAGGATTTACCACAGTAAAAGCAAATTGCAGCTGACCGAGTTGGTTCATCGTAGCCTAGGTCTAACGATTGAACCCAATCCACAATGTTTGGACTTTTTGCCAATGGGTTATCTATTTGATCATCAATGGAAGCGTCTTGTTTGCTGGGGGTTGATGACATGATTTTGTTTCGTCACTGTTCCCTCCCGCTTCGCAGTGACGCCACAAGTTCAAATATGTGGGTGCCCAGGGATGATTCCTTCGTGCAAAGTAGCCTAGATAATGTCCAAGGGTTCAGCAGAATGTTTGACAGTTGCTGTGTTTGATTTAATGTGGTTGAAGTGTAATGGATGGAAATTTGGATGGCCATCGTTGGAATACAAAAAATGGAATACAAACATTCCTTAATGAAACCGTATTTTAAAAATATTCCGAACTCCTTTTGCGTGCACGAGAAATTTTCGACTGTTTGTCATAAAACAAGCTGCAAAGCGAAGATCATCGACCGTAATGTCCAGCATGGAAGTGGATCAACCCAAGGGGGCGGCTATAAAGGAATCAGGCGTCGCATTGCACCCGGTATGTCACCAGACCCAGAGTGGAATGCAGAAGTAGTATGTATAGAGCCTTACCATTGTCTCTTCAGCTCGCTTTGGTGCACATGTCAGATCAATACACTCGAATCTCTACTGGAGGGTCACCTTTGGACAAAAGTGCAGCCGTTGTCGGTCTAATGTATGGCTTTACAGATGGCCAAGGTGTTCTTCAGATTCAGGATGCGGACGATATTCCTCCCGAAGCATCGGAACAGACTCAACTCCAAGTTGACCTCCACAAAGCTGTCTTTCCGCTTCACTCTGTTGTCGGGTGGTACCGTGTTTCATTGAAAGACGAAGAACCTTCACCAGATGACCTGCAAACAACAAAGAATTTGTCTGAACACTTCGCAAACTCCTTGGCACAATTTTGTTTCTGTTTGTTGGAAGTACAGCAAGACACGAAGGATACTACCGGCAGCTCGTTGAATGAAGTCTTGCCTATCAATTTGTATACCCTTCGTGAGGTAGAAAATCATTCTATTCTTCTCGGCTTTGATAATTGGAATCTGGAAACTTCTGATCCAGAACGAATTGCCGTCGAGCGGGTAATGAAAGAACGTCCCATGCAAGCTGAAGGAAGCCGGGCAAGTAATTCCTATGTCGAAAGCTCCAATTCCATCCAGACTTCGTTGGATAGCATGAGGGACAGAATCAATGTTCTGGTTTCCTTTTTGCGCTCCACTCAGGAGGGGAAAGTGCCCATGAACCACCGTTTATTGCGTCAAGTTCAAGTTTTGGTTCATTCGCTTGGACCCATCGCACAGATCGCAGGTTCCGAAGCTCCCAGTGAGGCAAGTGATGCGGATATAATGACACACCTAGCAGCCGTTGCAAAGACTGTCAGTGCTGTCCAATCATACACAGAGAAGTTTCGGTTGATTCATGAGAACCGGAACCTGAACAAGGAAATGCGAAGAGCCTTTTAGAGACCTTCGACTTTCGGTCCACTGTCTTCGAAATCGGCTCTGACCTACTGGAGTAAATGTAATACTTTGTTTTACTGGGTAGACTAAGAATATTAGTGGGATGAATTGCACGCGATTGCCATTGGGGATCGAGCTTTGAACTTGCCCATGTTGCAAACTGTGAGCCATCGATGTACTTGGAGCAACAACATGAAGATAATTGAAAGATAATTGAAAGTGGCACTATATCTGACGAGACTCAAGTATCTATTTTTGGCTCGAGTAGCCGACAGTCTTCTTAGCCCTTCTTACTGTTGTTCAGAAGATCGAATTCAACGTCTCGTGCAAGAATCTTATCCACATCTTCGGTGAATTCCAGTTTGAAAGGTTCCAAAACCATATCGGGTGCATAATCTTGAAGGTTCTTTTGCTTGAAGGCTAGGTCACTAGCACGCTTCAACCTGCGGTAACGTCCTTCAACGACATCAGGATGAGCCAGTTCCAAAGCCTCGTTAACCTCAGGTTCGTCTCTACTCATCAAATCTTCATATCGAAGACCTGTCAATTTTCAGCGTTTTAGATGCAAAGAAGGCTCGGTTAGTATTCAGCCACGGCGACAACAAATAGCGAAAGTACAGTTGCATTGTTCGTCTGCTTATGCCTCGTGGTCAAATATAGTTCACAGATCATCGACTTGCTTTATTCAACTCACCCATCTTGTTCAGCTCCTTGCCCAAGCGCGCCTTATAGAAGCGAGCCGCCGGCTTCATTAGTGGATCGAGAAGTTTCTGGAGGGACATGGTTCGTGGTTGCTAGATGTTGTTAATGCCGTCATCGTCATCAAAACCGAAAAACCCCACGAACGTTTGGTAGAGTTCTTACAGCAGAAACTACAGTATCATGGTACAGTACTGCCGTCCGTCAGTAACTCTAACTCTAACGTTGTACTGTTTTAGTTTCAACTTGAATTTGGACCATGCATCCACACAATAGCAAAAGAAAAGCACAATTTCTTTCATATGACAGCACAAATTCCTCCTCCACCGAATTCCCAAGTGCTTTCGTTGGTAGCAGCTTTATCCCAAACAGAAAATCATGATTTGCATGTCCAAGCTATTCGCGCCAGAGACGAAGCCTTAAGCGCATCTCCGAACAGCTATGGCAACCTCTGTGTCCAATTATCACTGTTACTGGTGGGGTGCAACAATCCGGAGCAAATGCTTCACCAAATTGACCGACCTTCGTTAGACGGATGGCGTCAAGCCAATCAATCAACTGCTCTTAGACTTGAGTCGGATCCCATGCAATGGATACCTTTTGGCCAGATGGGTGGGCTGATTCTGAAAAATGCATTGTTGCGTCCGCCAATACAAATAACAGGCCAATCTATGGCACTGAGTAATGAAGACGCTTTGCGTTTGAAGGAAACTCTGGTATTCGGGCTTTCTCTCGGTCATCCTGAGTTGTACAACGTCGTTTCTTCCATCATCGCGACAACTTCTGTTTCAGTTGACGGTGTTCAACCTCTCATGCACATATCTCAGTGGCCGGAGTTGATGCCAATCTTGCTTCAGAATATACACAATGCGCTAAATAGTTCGAATGTGTCGTCCTTAAGTGGTTCGTTGACGACGGTGCGCAAGATGATGGAGGATGGGCCTTCCGAGATTCCAGTGATGGCGCTTGATTCCATTGTACCATTGCTCTTGCGCTTGTTTCAAGCAACTGACGAGAACATCAAGGTTGCTGCACTACAATCTATAGTTGCCTGTTTGGGGTCTGGTATGCTCCCAAGTTCTCTTGTCACACATTTTTCAGATTATTTCACGGGGTTGTCTCATCTAGCATCTGATGAAAGTGCTAAGGTTAGGAAATGGGTCTGCCGATCAATTAACACAATGTTGGAACTCCATACACATTATCTCCAACCACATATGGGATCGCTATGCCAGTTTATGTTACAGGCAACAATTTTACAACCATCCCAAGCCGATGATATTGTAGCTGTTGAGGCCTCCGAATTTTGGATACTTTTTGCCACATTGGATGAGACACGTCTTACTTCTGATATGATGGATACAGTGGAAAAGCTGCTGCCGAATCTAATTCCCACCTTGCTTCATAACATAGTGTACTCCGAAGAGCAACGAATTGAGATTCTGGCACAAAATGAAATCGATTTAGAAATGAAGGAATCGATGAAACCCATATTCCACAGCACAAAACAGAAACACGACGGCCAAAGCGATATGGATTCAGAGGATGAAAGCGACGATGACGGCTGGGACGAGGATGATACTGAATGGAATTTGCGAAAGTATTCTGGTGCATCTTTGGATTCCTTATCGAATTTATATGGGGCGGGACCAATTTTGCCAGCTCTTCTCCCTGCACTGCAGCAGGGATTGTCGAGCGGAGATTCTTGGATTCAAGAAGCTAGTATCCTTGCCCTCGGTGCAATTGCGGAGGGTTGCCATGAAGAGATGAATGCTCATATGGGTGAGCTATATCCTTTCTTACTAAATTTACTTTCAGCACCCGAAACCCCTCAAGCACTACCGCAACTCAAAAGCATTTGTGCATGGACTGTTGGTCGGTAAGTTAACATTTGCGTGGATCAGTAATTGGATAGTAATACATGACGCGCTTACATTGGGTGACTCAGCTATGCGGCTTGGGCTGTAGACCAGGTCCAGAGAGGAGCACAAGGGCACCTGCTCGCCCAAGTGACCGAGGTTTTGCTGAAACGCTTAGACGATAGCAATCGAAAAGTCCAGATTGCTTGTGGGTCAGCTCTTGGAGTAGTGATTGAAACATCTGGTGATTTGCTTTTACCTTACCTCGAGCATATTTGCCCTCCTCTTGTCTCGGCAATGTCAAGATACCAAGGACGGAGCCTTGTGATTATTTTTGACACGCTTGGTATAATGGCTGACTCCTGTGGCCCAGCTATTGGCGAGCATGAGCTACCAGCGATATATGTACCCACAATGCTACACATGTTGAATACCATAATGCTGAATAATCCATCTGATCAGACGCTCTTGCCTCTGATGGAGAGTTTGGCAAGCGTTGCCCTAGCATGTGGTATGAATTTCCAGCCATACGCCTTGGAGACGTTTGAAAACGCTATGTGTGTCATCGAGCAAGTTCAATTGGCGCTGGCTACGGCGGACAAAGTCACGGAGGAGGAAGCAGACCCGATAGTTTGTGCAACCGACTTGATGGATGGCCTGTGTGAAGGACTGGGGAATAATTTCATCCCGCTTGTTGGAAGTAGCAAACGGTATGGACAACACTTTGTTTCCGTATTGCACAGTCTTTGCAAGTATCAAGCAGTAGGTGTTCGAATTTCTGCACTTGCTCTTTTGGGGGATATAGCAAGAAATGCTCCATCATTGGTAGAACCTGGACTATCTGAACTGCTTCATGAAGCTATATCAAACATTGAAGCCACGCACCATGAAATGCATTCGAGCTTGGCAAACAATGCAGTGTGGGCAATTGGTGAAATTTGTGTTCAATGCGGTTCCAACTCTGCACCATTTGAACCCTTTGCATCTCTTTTGATGCAACGACTTATTGTGCTTCTTATGGGCAATGGTGAAGGGCGAGTGAGTGAAGTCCCAGGTCTGGCAGAGAATGCGGCCGTTTGCGTTGGCCGATTGGCAGTTCTTAATACCAGCTTTGTTGCTCCCGAACTTCCTAGATTTCTTCTGGGGTGGTGTGACGGCATTTCAAAAGTACTAGATCCAACAGAACGACGGGATGCCTTCACAGGGTTCTGCAGAACACTTTACGCGAACCCCCAAGCTATCCAACAGTGTGGTGTTAATGTTGCGGATGTCATCTCTTCGATTTTATTTGCAATCATTTCGTGGCATATTCCAGCAGAATCAGGTCCCGAACAAATCGACTTCGTTACTGGAGAGTATGCTTTTCAGCCATTCCCACCCAGTGATGCCGAAATCGGCCTGCAATTAGCCAAGCTAATGAAGGACATAAAAGCTTCGGTTGGTTCTGATGTTTGGGGATCCACCCAAGCTCAGCTTCCAGTGAATGTTCGGCGACTGCTTCAAAAGGCTTATGATTTGTGAGCGGCCCCTCCTTTTTGTTGGGCCCAACACTGGCGTCGACTTGGCATATTGGATGAGACCGCGCTCTCATCGACGACCAAACAATATGCAGCAAAATGTATCAAAAATAGAAGATTGGAATCAAATCTATTTCTCAAAAATATATACTACTTTTATAACTATACAATGGTATGAAATGCAGATTCAAGAACAAGGAGTCTCGTCAAGCTTTAGGAAAGCAGCTGTGGACAAGGCTGCAAGTCCTGAAAACCCAGCCGGGGTGTTTGTTTCGACTTTACCACTACCGCTCTTCATCGACGAGCGGTGTTCTCTTCCTTGCAGCAGGCCTGAAGGAGACTTGATATCGAAGCACCGATCAACGTCACTTCTGGGCTTATCTTTTAGAGAAAGATAATCTTGCACCTTCGTGGATAACGATGCATCGGAAAGACGACGTGCTACGCCTGATTCCCTTCGCTGCCGTTTAACGTCTTGGGATCTCTCAGGTGACGCATTTGATCTTGCCCTGACAAAGTGACTAGATGACGACCTGCATGCCACGGGGGTTGAGGCAGGGACTGCCATCGGCCTATTGGGGGGTGTTGAAGGCAAATAAGGCCGCCCAAAACCGCAAGGGTCATTGTCAAAGTGGTACCTCCGAGGTGTTGACGGCACCACTGCCATTTGTGAACTAGCCGTGACAGTTCGCGGGCTTTGATTATGTTGGTAACGGCTTCGCATTTGGTGGTGAACAGGAGTTTGAGGATATGGTCGATATCTCCGGGGCGGTTGCAATAGGGTGTGAATCTGTCCATATTGTCTTTCAGATCTGCCATAATACTCGTAATGATCTCTGTAGTCAAGCATGGGAGATTCCAGATGTTGATATTGGTGAGTGCCATAATGAGGACTCGAAGGACTGTCCATTCGTCGAGGATCATTCATTCGTGGTGGGGCATGGTGGTAGGTGTGGGGAGGGCTTTTGGGACAGTTGAGCGATGGACTTCGTAGACGCGACTGCTGCATTCTGGGAACTTGCGAGTCATGAATAGGCCACCTGGGACTCTCGGAGCCTACCATATTGTCTTGGCAATATATCTCCTTCAGATGCGATGGAACTATGAGTGGTGGGGCTTCAACACTTTTGGAATCTTTAGATTTGCTGGAAGAACCCTCCTTGATTAATGCTTGTACCGCTGAACCACTACTTTGTACAACATCTGGTAAGTCGTTTGAGTTTTTTTCCCTAAGGGCCTGTGAAGTTTTTTCAAGGCTTCGCGGAACCCCAATGTTGTACCAGAGTCCACTAGCAGAGTCTTTTGCTAGAAAACGACCTGGAGGATTGGTGCGACCAACCAGATCAACAATCTTTCTAGCGACCAACATCTTCTGTTTTTTGGTGAGTCCGACATATGTCTTCTTGTTAGCGGCAACAAGCTCTCGGAAGTGCATGTTTCCGAGGTGCCGGTTGCTGCTACCACCTCGACCGCAAAGCACATCGTGTGCATGAGGATTCTCGACATCTATGTTCGAAGCGGGCTCCCCATGTGGGGAATGTACTTCCCTGCAAGAAGAATTTGGATGCGGGACGTTGCGTGGACGCCCCGGTGATACGACTGCAGGATGCTGCTCAAAGCATGAATACATCGCCGTATTTGCAGGGGTACACGATTCCATTGGTGGTTGCCAACAGCTTGTAAAGGGAGCCATCATTCCGTTCATGAAGGCCTTCATGCTCCCCTCGCTGGTACTGTAGTCATCGTTTCTATCCACCCTCCTCTGACGAAAGGACATTGAGGGAAGGAAGCTTGGAATGTCAGCTGCCACCATTGTTGTTTTTGTTGCTGTTGGATGGACCTGCAATGATTTCGAACAACTGAAAATGGCGCTTTTTTAAACAACGGAAATTTTCGTCACCGACTGACTCGTTCTATTTTCCGTTGTCTTTCCGTTGCTTGGCACGCGAAAAAACACCTAAAATTCACTTTACTAATGATTTTGAAACAAAATTTGCTCGTGATTTTGATCAGGCAAGACGGTAGACGGACTGGCAAGAGAAGACTCCTGTCTTCACGCCAACAGCCATGTCGTCAGTCGCTTAAGCGAAGTAACGGTAATTCATTGGACAAAAATTCGGGGACGATCGGCATGGCAAACGAAGGCGTGAACAGAAGCATTCTTTTTGCCAAGTGCAAGATGAGACGATGAAGAGCTAAGGAACCACGATCATCTGAAACAGTTCAGAACGATTATATCTTTTTTTCTTCCATCTACTCATTACCCGACTCCCGGAGTCGTCCATCCAAATTTGCCCAGGTTGCATTCTCAAATCCGATTTGAGCCCGATCAACCTGTGGCACCCCAATTTCCTCTCGCGTACCCGAGAGCGTCGCAATTTGACGTAAAACTGCTCCTTCGGGAGACCTATCAAAACGCACCGTTGCGTCAGCGCCCATCCGCTGTTTCACTTGCCCACCGGTGGCACCCCTCAAATTCCTGATATTTGAACCGACACCCGGTGTCAGGTGGTTTAGCCCCACGCTACCACCCTATTCAATGCGCCTGTGCATTCGTTGACCATCAACAACCACCTCCCTCCCAGGAGCCCTATCAAAATGCACCGTTGCGTCAGCGCCTATCCGCTGTTTAACTTGCCCACCGGTGGCACCCTCAAATTCCTGATATTTGAACAGACACCCGGTGTCAGGTGGTTTAGCCCCATGCTACCACCCTATTCAATGCGCCTGTGCATTTGTTGCCAGTCAACAACCAACTATTATCCCTGGAAATCTCCACCAGTCCCCTACCTGCAGCATCTCCCATTTCCATGCTCACTTACCTACCGGTGGCAGACCATCCACCGCCATGCACCCGTACCGCCGAGTTCCCGCTTCCCCGGACCCGTTCCAATCCTGTGCGGCACCAGCATTTTCGCAAAAGTTCGAGTGAGACACCGCCCAATTCGGCCAACTCCACCTCCGTGGACCTCCGCACCAAGCCCACTATGCGCCAATCGTGTGAGTCCCGTCGCCATTGCCTTCGCCAAAGACTGGCAGCGCATCTCGGCACTCCGACTACACCCAGCCTTCCGTTTGTAACACCTTGTCGGCCCACCCTGGATACTCCACCGGGCATCCTTCCGTTAGGCCCTAAACCATCTCAGAACCGACCGTTCCAACCAACAAATTTCATTTAAAAATTACCCCCAATAGTTACTATTCGTTTCCATAACCTACTCACAAATCTCCAGTATTGGCCATTTCATTGAACCAATGCAGACCTTTCCCCCACGCACCCTTGATGCCATCCTCCAAGACGACGTGAGCAAAACACAAAGCGCATTCGAAAAAGACATCCTCCGCAACTACCTTCTGGCAGCCAACCCAGCCCTACTTCCATACATCCGAGACGCCCACACTACTCCACTCGGGTTGGTTGATGCATGTCACGAATATCGCAAACCCCGTATCATCTTTGATGCCACCCACCATCCTTCCCTGACAGCCATGGCAGTCAACGATTTCACTTCTAAAGAAACTGAACCCGAAATCTGCTTCCCGAGGTCATTTCCCAACTTCTTGATCTGGATCTACAACCTTCGCATCACCTACCCAAAAGAGGAAATCTACATTTGCGACGATGATGTATCTGGCGCCTTCCGCC